CAGATCTTGCATGTGTATGGCAGGAAGCCAATAACCTGGGACATCAGCACTGGATTCCAGGGTCCACAATCACAGGTCCACATTAACTGGATTCAGGAGCTGGAGCCAGAACTCAAAGGTACTAATATGGGACACAAGCTTCTTAACTGGTGTCTTGATTGCTGAGCCTAACACTCACCCCTAAACTTACCTTTCAAGTCCGTTTTTCCACAAGCTTTTTGAAGAGTCATGATGTTTAAGCAAATCTATAAATGTGATAGAATAAATTACAAAATAAAACAGCTTTGCTGTTTATTTCTACATTCAGAGGATTTATGTGAAGTCATCCCTCTAAATTAAAAAAAATGGAGCCAACTAATTAACTACAGATTATACAAAAGTAAACACAAACAGCACATGACATCATACAAAAATCTGATAGCTTATTGGGAAGCAGTCCACAGAGCAGACTAATAGAATGACAATTGCTTTAAGTAACACTCTGACCTCATAATCAACCCTTAAGGCTTCCTGGTCTGGCTGAAAAGCCCGTGAGGGCATTTCAGGCATGGAAAGCCAAGATACTATGGCAAAAAATGTTCTTTGTGAAGGATCTCTGTGAGTGAGACCCCAGTGGACATAAGTGGCCATCAAAGAAAGATGTACTTTTCTCGAAGGGAGGAGAGAACTTCCACTTCGCTTGTGGCTTTGTCCAATTGCTGATGGAGTTTGTGGACCGGCTTCCATAGCCCAGGCTGTTCATTTCCAGAGCTGCAGGTGGTCACTGACATCATACATACAGGGTGTTAAGTGTTAAGTTAACAACAAGAGTCACTGTGCACTAACTCCCCATGCAGGACCTCTGTCCTCAATGAGCTGTATTATGAGAGTTAACTGTAAAACTTGTTCTCAAGCAGTTTTTTTGTGTTTGTGGGTGTGCATTTGCAAATTATTGACATCTTTGCTTAGTATAGAGTTGGTCTTCTGTGTACAAAGTTAATTGAAAAGGAATCTTAATGGAGAATGGGACTGGCAAGGGGAGAGGGAGGAAAAGAGGGGTGGAAGTATGGGTGGGAGGGCGGGTATGGTGGGAAGAATAACTATATTCCTAAAGTTATACTTAATGAAATTTGTATTCCTTAAAAAATTAAAAAACTACTGATAGCTTCAGAGAGTTTATCATAAATAGGCCCTTAATCAGAAGAGGATCTGAAGCCACACAAAGAGAAGCAGTTTCCTATGAAGAATATTCACATGGTAGATCCAAAAAATGTTGTAAAAAATAAAATTTGTCTTTGGTGATTTCCTACGCCTATGTCTCAGGCTCGCAGTATCTTTTTGCTGCCACCTAGATGTTCAGAGTTATTTCTGAGAACAAGTGTATATTTTCTGTCCCTTCATGCCATCAAGACACAGCCTTTGCTATTAAGTTTTCCAAGCCTAAAGACTTCAATTAAGATTTCTTTTAGTCTCATTTCCCATTGAGTTAAACTGATTTGCTAATCCATGCCACAGGGGATATAGCCTTATCAGCCTTAACAGGTGATATATCTGTCTCTTAGGATTTCTACTGTGGCAAATTCTAAGTCATTCATTTGAAAGTGACTGATGAGACATCGTGTGCCTTAGGAATCCAACCAGTGAAGTGCTACCTCATCTATGCTACATAGATGAACTAGCCCACAAACAGAAAAATATCTATTGACATGCTGAAACTTCTATTTTCCCTCCACCAAATGCAAGCAAAATGTGAATATATATCTAAATCTAAAATTAAATCATTCTTTTAAATGCTCTTTTATAACTGACTTTCTGCAAACTCTGGAAAATGTTAAAAACAGTAGCAAGCTAGGTCTAATTCACTTACAATAATTATACAACACTGGTATAATCCTATGTATTGGAAGAGTTTGTTAATTATATTTCCTTAATGGAAAATTAAATTTTCCTTGCTTTATTAATTGATAGTAGGAAATTTCAGAGATTTGAATTTTGAACAGCCTGAATGATAGGTGATTCCAAGAAAACCCAATTATTTCTTAGGCAATTCCCATGAATTAAATAGATTTTTAAAATTTTATCAGAATTCAAAGCTGCATGAAAGTTTCACTTGCCAATGAACACATTGCTTTTGAGAGCCAGAAGAAACAGTTCTTTTAGAAGGATCCTTTAGCAGTTATGAGGGTTTTTTTTATTGTTATTGCTGCTATTACTTGGCTTGATAAAGAGTGTTCAGATAATGTTTGGAACATAAAGGATTGTTGTATAGAACAGAAGTGTTCTGTACAGATTATGAAGATTCTGTTCTTGTTTTAGTATACTTTACCTTTTAAGCATCATACGCAACAGCTATATTCCAAAATATATCAGTTAATGACACTTAAATTGGGCTGCACTTGACAATTTTTGAGGTATGTTTTTGCTCTTTTGATAACTGAACCAAGCCTGTGGGCTATGAAAAAGGATAGTCACTACAATCCCTATTTTATAGATGAGAAAATAAACCTGGGAACTGTCCCTTATCCAAGACCACATCATTAATGAAGATTAGTGTCATTTGATTTGGTGTTGTTTTGTGCTGTTTGTTTGTCTAAGTTTTTGGAGTTATTCCCCAGGTAACAACAGTGCTAAACTGTTTTTACTGGGAAAAGTATAAGCTTTCAGGAGTTCTATGCAAGAACCTATCAATATTCCAAAATCTCCAGTTGACATACAAATAGGTACAAGTGCTGAATCCACAGCCAAGGCCTTAGTAAATTGGTTTCTAAAAAGGAGAGTAAAGATTCAGGAATATCATCTATAAGATCTTACTGACTTCTAACATTTTTCCCAGATGGTGATTCTAAACACAGAGAAGGACAAGGACATTTAGAGAAACAGGGCAGTGTCACTGAAGAATCAGGAGGCCTGGTAAGGAAAGGTTTTCTAGAGAAAAACTAAATGTAGTTTCTAGGATATTTAAATATAATTCCTAGTCTACTAAGCTAACAGTTATATGAAAATTGAATTTGCTTGTTTGTACACCCTGAATGTCTAGTTCTGTTGACAGAGCCTTTACCATACAATGCAAGACAAAATGTTCAAGGCCAGTGTTAGGCTCTTGCAAATGCACTTTAGAATCAGAACCATCTGAGTTTGTCTTGGGAATCTGTCACATCTGGTGGAACAACATTTCCAAAATCTCTCACTTTCCTGATACACATTTTCCTTGTCTGCAAAATGACATGTATTTAGCACTCAAGAAACAATAGTTATGATTTTGGGGGTTCAAATGAGAGCCACAAAGATCAGTTAACCTGCCTTCACGCCATTAAAATGATAATAATGCCTGCACCACTCTGAAAGCTGCTCTGCTGTGAGCTGAAGTACACCAAGAAGTCAAGTTGGGCTGCACTTGTCAAGGCTGGATAGAGAGGAAAGGTCTGAGCCGTTGTGGCTTATCTGCCATTGTAAGCAACTCTATTATGGAAAATTGGCAGAAAATTACTTCTAAGGGCGGCCTTTTAGCCTCACAGCTATTGCTTGGAATGCCTGCAGCTCATATTAGAGTACCTGGGTTTGAGTCTTGGCTCCACTCCTGTCTCCAGATTTCTACTAAGATGCACCCTTGGAGGCAGCAGGTGATGTATCAAGTGATTAGGTCTCCACACCCACATGAGAGACCTGCAATGAGTTTCTAGCTCCTGCCTTCATCCTGGCCTGGGCCTGGCTATTGCAGGCATTTGGGGAGTGAATCAGCTAATGGAAGATCTCTCTTTGCTGTTTGTCTCTTCCTCTCTCTCTCTCTCTCTCTGCCTTTCACATAAATAAATAAATATATATATATTAAAAATTACCTTCAAATTGAGATTGAGGAATTAAGTGCATATACTTGTATTTATTTGTAAACAGTGAGTACAAATCATTTTCAACTCTTATTCAACTAAGTATATTAGCATTTATTGAACTAAAATAGTGGAAAATAGTGTTTAAGTTCTCTAGTACAGTAAATAGAAATGATCAAACTATAATCCTTTATTTTCAGTAGAATTAAATTAGCTTACTTGTTTCCCATCTGCTGAAAATGTTCCTGTAAATGGGCTCAATGATGAATATTCCATTAGAATTTTGCATTCTTTTCCTGTGTTTCTCTAATTAGAAAGAATCTGAAAAGGCCAAGGGCTACTTTACCCTGGTGTCCTTAAAACAGATCCTTCACTACAAACCACTATTAGATGTATTATGTTTCCATAATTGAAATCCTTTTTGTCCACTCTTATTGTCTATACCTGCAAAAAAATTCAACACCATCTCCACCTGATTACAAATTGGGCCCTGACCTTTCCTGTCCTGCTCATATTTCTAGAAGCAGCGTTCAGTGTGAGATTGCAATCACCCCACTCGGTAAGTAAATAATGTTTGTGTATTGCAGAGAGTAGTCCTTTATCAGGAATATTAATGCAGATTTACTTTTTCCAGGAAATGGAAAATAAAACCTCAACAAATGGATGTGACTGCTCAGAATGGCCCTCAAATGGGCACTGACAATTGATCCGGTTACTTGTCAATTGCATTATTCCAAGATGACATCATCAGCAAAGCCGTAGCCAACACTGTTAGCTCATTGCCCACCCCAGGGCCACCTTTCATAAAGAAAAAAACTGCTCTGTAAAGATAAAAACATCTCAGGGTTGTAATTTGATTACTTAAATCTAATTAAGCAACTTTCCATGAACCTCATTAATAAGTATGGAACCAAATTCCACACTGACACTGAACATACAACAACCAATGCTAAGAAAACATTTCACAGCATATCATCGCCAATGTGTGTTGTCCTAGAGAAAAAGCAGGCTGTTGGCAGAGACTATTCTGATAATATTCATTTCTGATTGTTGTTATGGATCGTTTTATATATTTATATGTTGGAGTATTGCTAACTGAACTTTGGAATTGAAACTTCTAGGCAACGACATGTTCTTTGATGTCTTCGAATAACTCTACTTGGTACCACCAGTGTAAAAGACATCATGTTTCTTTACCTGGGGGGTTATGCTCATTGAGAATCACCAGTGATGCTGGAGTGGGTCTTCTTTTCCTGATCTGTAAACAACAAATGTCAGTGAGAATCAGACCCTGTTTCTCTACAGCTTTGCAAAACTGTCCCGTCCTCATCATTTCCCAACACCCAAAAGCAAACAGCTGGAGGGCACCCAGTTGATGTTCACTAATTTTATTTTAAAATGACAAAAAACTAGACAGTAGAAAATGACAAATATTAGTATTACCCTCTTTGACCTAAAAGTTATATGTCACAGAAAATCTTTTAGTTGCATATAATCAAATGATGCAACTGAAAATGAATCAGTGAAGGTATAGGGATAATTTACTAAATCTAATGGATCTCTTGGAGTCCCATATTACTGGTGATCTTTTCAAGATCCATTACCCTCATTTCCAAATGGAGGAATAGAAGCTTAGAAACCTCAACTTTGTAGCCGGCGTCATTGTGAAGTTAACAGTATGAATTATTAGTTTCAATTATTTTTTTTAATTTTCTAGTATAACATTTAGAACAGATCAACAAATTAAGAATGAATATAGACATTATGAGAACATATAATTCATTTAAAATCCTTTTCAGATTTTTTTGCTACTTTAAGAATCACAGGAGCATTTATGATTAAAATCTTTGAATGTGATTTTCTTTAAATATCCATATAGGTAAATTCACTAAGCATATGTCAGCAAGATAGAGGGTAAAATTTAGCAATGAAAGTTTGTCCATGATAGAAGGAAAGCCCCATTCAGCAGTTACAAGTTCAAGTTTGTATTTATCAGACCAGAATCTAGGTAGATCTAATTCTAATTGTCAAAACATCCTAGAAAGTTTTGGGTGTCATATTCAACAATTAATTTAAGACCTTATATCAAATTTTTAGGAAAGGATTTGGAGATAACTTAGGTTTTAAGACATTATATATTAAGTTGACATCCTCATAAATTCCTTAGCTTTCCACAGTTGTAGTTTACCACAAAAGATCTTTCAAGTGTGCCACTGCATCAAGAGTATGAGTAAATCTGAATATGAGCTGTGATACAGACCTAAAACAATATTATACATGGAAAAAAATACAGCAAATATTAAAGGATGATTTGAAATAACTGAATAAAGTGTTTTTAAAATTATACGGATAGCTACAAACCCCATCTATCATGTTACATACACCTACTATCACTGCTTTGTATACACAATGAAAAATATATTAAATAAAATGTTAAACCTATAATCTAGAATTAATGCTTTTGTTGTTAAATAAAGCTCTTCATTTTATAAATAATAAAATAAAATGTTGCTAATTTTGGCTCTTTTAAATTTGATGTAAATGTTCAGCCTGCTGTTTTAACAAACAATAGCAAAGATTTATGGATGCAAATCTAAATTACTAATGCAGCCATTTTTCCCCAATGGGTGCTCATTTTGTGTTAAATAAAGTGCTATGTTTTAACCAATATTTCTCCCAATGCAATACAAATACAAGTTCATAAAGAAACCAACTTACTTTTCATTCACATACCCTAAAATTCACAGTTAGGAAAATTCAAGGGGAAGAGAACTGTTCAACTAATGATAAGAATGTAGGTCCGTGCTACTTGATCATGTATAGGAATTGTTCCCCACCCAATTCCACTTACCTGCTCTGCTGCCTCTGGTGCAATCTGACTCTGGAATAAAGGCACAGCAAATTGTATCTTTTTGGGACTATTGGGCTCCATGACAATGATGAAAATTAGTTAGAGATGTGAAGAGTTCAGAAAGACCAACCCCAAGCAGTATCCTGGATGTGTTTCCTCGGGTGCAGTCTGTCAAGATACACAGAGGGCTCTGAAACAAGTAGCTGTAATTCCAGAGTGGGCAAGTGAAGATACCGAGGTCTGAGTGACTCCCCTCTTCAACATCCACAGTGATGCCTGGCTTGCCTATTCCCCCACCAGTCCCTTGGATCCTCTCAGCACAATACAGAAAGGAACAATAAGCTAATTGTGTGCCTGTTCACTAGTACACATGCCAAGCATTCACTCAGCAGCTAATTGAAAATGCAATGCTAGCCTTGAAGGACCCGCTGTCCTGGGATTTGAAAGAAAGGCTCTATCCACTGTACATTAACTCACCGGCTGCTCAAAAGTGCAATGTAAGCTCCCTCTGAGTATTGCAGGGATGGGCCATTCATTATTGATGAAGATTAAGCAGGAAGTTTTTAGAGTTGGGGGCAGGGTTTGGGAATGGAATCATTTCATTTCTCTTGCAGCAACTTATAAGTCAGACACCTTTGCTATTTTACGTTCAGCCACCAAATAGAGGAATGGCCATGGAGGGTAAGCCACAACCGATATCAGCTGTATTTATGCTGTGAGATCTGTTTAGGTTGGACTGATTGTAGAGGGCAGAGCATCCATGGTTGGTAAGCACTGTATGGCCTTGGGGCAGAGCACATCTCAGGTCAGGCTCCAGCTCCACCATTGACAAGCTATGTGGCCTCAAGAAAATCACAGGCGCTGTCTAGGCCCCCACACCTTCAATAGATAAATGACCTTTAAGCTTCCATCCTGTTCCAGCATTCTATAATTGTAGTTCACAGTTTTCATTAGAACGGAAAGTATTGGACAGCTAAATTTAGCAAACAGCTTGGGAGTCATTGTGACTGAAATGACCTCTATTTTATTTCCTTGATGGAGCCAGTTATATCCTCCAACTTGAAGAATACAGGGCTGAATGGAAAACATTAGTGAAAACCTAATTGCATCTACCACTGTGTCTTGTTGTCAATAGTGAGTAAGTATGCAAGGATAAAGATCAGAGAAAAAGCCTAAAGGGAGAAATCTCCTGAAGGGTAGAGGATGATGGTCATATGACCGGTGGTCAGGGAGGAGGGGACATGGACCTGATGGCCACATCATTCAGTGTCAAAGAGGAGGCAGTAGCACGGCTCAATGGTCTTCATACATTCTACCACTTTCATGGTGGAAGTCTGAAAAAAGCTATCTGAATAGATTTAAAAAAAGAACATGAGTTTTTATCAAGTTATCAAGTATAACTTGAGATATCCTCATTTGAGGTAGTTTTTGATGAATAGATTGTTAAATATGTTTTTGGAATTATCCTATACAGCTAGACTTTAACTACTATTCCAGGTATTTACAGACAAAGTTTTTATGTTTTATTTTTTATAATTCTGATGCCATAACCAGGAATCCATCTTAATGATTTAAGTATACAATGTTTTGTTGAAAGAATATAGAAAGTGGCATGCATTATTCAAGTAGTTTTCTTTACTCTGTAGGGGGGGAAAGCAAATGAAGATGTAAATGCGAAAGTACTTTTAACCGGATAATAGTGGAAACCAGCAAGAAATCTTGTGATGAGTTCATTTCTGGAGTGTTGAAGAGAAGCTTATAAATTATAATGCTTTATTTAACAAAGTTACTTAGAGAAAGAAAATATGAAACAATATCATTAATGAAGTCATTTATCTGCATATTGATTCTAAACAAAAGGAAAACAGTACTTTCAATGAGTTAATTCAAAATTACCCATGGGCCAGATGTTCTCCACCCATGACTGTCTCTGGTACTATTTTAGAGCACACATTTGGCAGCTTTCAGATCAAACCTGCCTCTGCTCTTTACTAAGTTTAACTTCAGCAGCAAGAGACTTTTCTTCTTGTGAGGTTTAGATGGGTACAAGAGCTTATAACAAGGATGGCCTCAACCAGTTTATTTCAATTTGATTTTTCAAATGTGTTAATGATTTTTTTTTTTTGACAGGCAGAGTGGACAGTGAAAGAGAGAGAGAGAAAGGTCTTCCTTTGCTATTGGTTCACCCTCCAATGGCCGCTGCGGCTGGCTTGCTGCGACCGGCACACCGCGCTGATCCGAAGCCAAGAGCCAGGTACTTCTCCTGGTCTCCCATGGGGTGCAGGGCCCAAGCACTTGGGCCATCCTCCACTGCACTCCCTGGCCACAGCAGAGAGCTGGCCTGGAAAAGGGGCGACCGGGACAGAATCCGGCACCCCGACCGGGACTAGAACTCTGTGAGCTGTGGTGCTGGCCTAATGATTTATTTTTAACCAGACTTCTTGAAAATCGTTACCTAGTTGCATTAATAGATTAGGTTTTTTCCCAATAAAATTTCCCAGCAGGAATTGGGTACCATTCCATGTTCCTGTTACATTATAAATACCAATAAAACTACTCTCATTAATTACTCTATCTGGAGTAGTGTGGCCAGAGACAGTCATGGGTGAGGAATATCTGGCCCCTGAGCCATAGAAAATCATTTGGTCTGTCCCTACCTAGGTAACTGCTGGTGTGACTCAAAATTCAATACATCTATAGCAGGCTAATTTTTAGGTTGATATTTTGTTGCAAATGATGTTATAAATATCCAAATGCCCCTTGGCAGGAAGAAGATTCCCCACCCCTGAGACATTTTTAAGCTCCTAGTTGTTGAACTCCTTCAGTTGCTCAAATTTCTGTGAAAAATTCAGGACTCAACTGAATATCGTTGCTTCTAAGAAACTTTAGCAGATTTACTCCTACTTACTTTTGAGATCCAGAATCTCAAAGCACCCAGCCCTTCTCTACTTAGCACAGTAACTAACTGTCTTTTTTTTTTTTTAAGATTTATTTATTTATTTGAAAGAGTTACACAGAGAGAGGAGAGGCAGAGAGAGAGTGGGCTTCCATTCGATGGCTCACTCCCCAGATGGTTGCAATGGCTGGAGCTGTGCCGATACAAAGCCAGGAGCCAGGAGCTTCTTCTAAGTCTCCCACATGGGTACAGGGGCCCAAGGACTTGAGCCATTCCCTACTGCTATCCCAGGCCACAGCAGAGAGCTGGACTAAAAGAGGAGCAACCGGGACTAGAACCCGGTGCCCATATGGGATGCCGGAGCCACAGGTGGAGGATTAACCAAGTGAGCCACGGCGCCAGCCCCTGGATGTAACTTTTTAAGAAAGATTTATTTATTTATTTGAAAGAGTTACAGATAGGTGGAGCCAGAGAGAGAGAGAGAAGGAGAGAGGTCTTCCATCCACTGGTTCACTCCCCAAACGGCCTCAACATTCAGATCTGAGCTGATCCATAATCCAAAGCCCAGAGCTTCTTCCAAGTGTCCCACATTTGTGCAGGGGCCCAAGAACTTGCACCATCTTTAATGCTTTCCCAGGACTAAAATTTCCCAGGCTATAGCAGAGAGCTGGATCAGAAGAGGAGAAGCCAGGACTCAAACCGGCACCCACATGGGGTGCTGGCACTGCAGGCAGTAGCTTTTACCTGCTACACCACAGTGCCTGCCCCAAAATGAATCTAACTTTTTAAAGGATACTCAGGTATGCCAAGTTGAAGATCAGATAAATCCAAGCCAGCCTACTCTGATATTCTCTGGGATCAGTGAAATTTCTGATTTATTGTTCTCAAACTTCCAACCTTTGGCTGGTATTTGGTCCATCTCCTGTTTCACACCTTCATGTTCGGACATTCTCAAATAGTTTCTTAAAACTCCAAGGCAGCATAGGAAAATCTAAGTTTCCCAGAGAAATAACAGGAAGGCTCTTCTCCACCTAAAAGATTGACATTAGAGGCCGACGCCGTGGCTCACTAGGCTAATCCTCCACCTGCGGCACAAGCACCCGGGGTTCTAGTCCCAGGTAGGGCGCCGGTTCTGTTGCGGTTGCTCCTCTTCCAGTCCAGCTCTCTGCTGTGGCCCGGGAAGGCAGTGGAGGATGGCCCAAGTGCTTGGGTCCTGCACCCGCATGGGAGACCAGGAGGATCACCTCGCTCCTGGCTTCAGATCGGCGCAGCGCACCGACCATAGTGGCCATTTTGGGGGTGAACCAACGGAAGGAAGACCTTTCTCTCTGTCTCTATCTTACTGTCTAATTCTGCCTGTCAAAAAAAAAAAAATGATTGACATTAGATACTTTAGATTTATCTAGAAAAATCCTGTCTCAGAGTAGAAACCACATCTTTATGCAAGGAGCATTACTGCAATCTTTTCTAATTACAAGTTGTGACAAAGTCAGAATCTGAGTTCCGTGAGCATGTAAAAAAAAAAAAAGAAAAGATTTTTTATTATATTTGTGGTTGTTCGGTGAAATATTTTAATAGTATCTTCTCTTAAACATTTATAAATACAAATACACTCTATGGAATTCAATTTGAAATTTAGGTAGCACAGACAAATAATAAGCAATAAATAGTCTCATAGTGCAAGTTCTATATGTTATTTTAAAATTAATTTATTTTTATTTGAAAGAGTGAGAGCGAGAGGGAGAGAAAGAGAACCTTCCATCTTTCCATCTGCTGGCCCACTCCCCAGATGGCCACAACAACCATGGCTGGTTCAAGCTGAAGCCAGGAGCCAGAAAATCCATCCAGATCTCCCATGCTTGTGGCAGGCACTGAAACACTGGAGGCAATATCTGCTGCCTCCCAAGGATGAGCATTAGCAGAAAGCTGGATCTGAAGCAGAAGAGGGGCTTCAATCCCAAGCACTCTTAACTGGGATGCAAGCATCAGTTCCACCCACTGCGCCACAATACCCAGCTCATTCTGCATGTTACTTTATCTTTTACAGCTTCTCTGTGATTAAGGCAGGGGAATGATGATAAAGAGTACATACATGCTTTCAATCAACTCTAAACATTGGTTCTAATTTTCTTTCCTTAATTAATGATTTCTTCTGTTTTTGAGAGACAGAAAAAGAGAGAGCATACACTCCGCACTCCCATCTACTGGTTCACTCCTGGAGTGTTGAAGAGAATCCAAGCATTTGTACTTGTAGTTCTTGCAATCACTTTGCTTTGAGCATCCTTCCAGCCCACCACTTCTCCCTAACACCTCTACCTTTAGGACTGCATTCAAATGTCCCCTTGGCTGAAATGTCTGCTCACAATAATCCAGGTGACCTGATGCTTCATTCTCCGGAATTTCACAAAACAATTTTTACGTGTTGCTTTTTGCCCTAATACAAATATTAATTATACT